ACCCCCCCCCCTTTGGTCACAACTAGCCTTCAAGGAAAAAAGCATCACTCCAACCAAACACAGCTGGCCTCTGTTACAAAACAGTAATCTGATATCTCTACCAAACCTATTTTTATCCCTTGCCATACATCATGCTGCACTTTTTAAAAAAACGTCACTTACTTTCTGTTTCATTTCGTTTGATCATGCCTTGACATTCTGCTAAAATTGTCTCTTTAAAAGATGTCACCAGGGCATTCACACAGCACTCCATAAGCTGAAAATGCATTAAATAAATAGTGAGCTCATTACAGCTTTTAGAGGCAAAATAAACTATGGAGTTCAAAGTTCACTGTAACATTAAAACTGCTGTCTATATGAACAATAGCTCAATATAATATTAGGTGCTCAAAGGTTTGTATATGAAATAGAAGTTACTATAGTGCAAAACAGTCTACGCTTGTGAAACGTGTACAGCACTGGTTTGTTTTTTTTAAATAATTAATTTTTAAAAATAAGGCTCATAAAAGGCAATCTCCAATATTGAATAACTATAATAAAAAACACACAACAAATAATGATCAAAAGCATGACAAGAAACCTTTTCTTAATAACATTACATAGTTTTACTACATTTTATACTCACCGCTTCTACAGAGTTACACTCACGCCTTGTTTCCAGGTATCTTAGTGCTCTTTTCTCTTCTTCTTTTAGTTTAGCATCTGCCTGTGCAGAAGCAGAACACCAATCATTTTAAGAACTAACAATAACAGAGCAGTTGTCATCATATGTTTTACTTACATATTTCATATAATTCTGTACACCATTTTGCTGCAAATAAGAAGGAGCCTGTGTTCTATAAAATCTCTCTGTTGAATCCAAATATGCTTTCTCAAAGTTATCCCGGTAAATCTGAAGTTTATCTTCAGGATTAGAACAAAGGTTAACTGCAAAGAGAAAAAAAGTACATCTTGTGTGACTTTTAATGCAACTTAAAAAAACTCCATTATTTTTGTTGATAAAGCACTTTTAAACCAAACAATCTGCTAGTGTCCCGAGAACCTGAATCTAAACCAGAGAAATCTGATGTTTAGGCACTGTTGCAAAATAAATCTGTCTAGCCAGAGACTGACCGGAGCTGCACACACTTCTCCTAAATCTAAGATATGGCAAGTGCAAATGTAGCAAACAGAATTATTACAGAATTTTTTTTTTTTTAATTGCAGCATGAAACCATATTGTCATTATGAATGCTCAGCCTAACCTGCAAGTTCCTAGAGATGATGCAAGGCTGTTCTTCTGATTCCTAACCACCCTTTGGTTCTGTACTGTTCTTATCTAGAGTAGTAATAACACACACATTAGAGATGGATATCCAGATCATTGATCTGTCAACAGAAATTGGACAGTTAGCAGTCCTTCGTGCCTTTAACCATCTTTCCCCTTCATCTCAACTGTTGCCAAAGAAAGATCAGAGTGAACTAAATACTAGGGCTGTGAGAAATTTCGCCGGCTGTTTTGATTTAACACTGTTTCAACTCATTTAGAGCTCAAAACAGCAAAATCGAATCAAAATGAAGGGCTTTGAAACAGCCTCAAAACAAAACAAGTCTAATCAAAACATTTTGAAAGTTTCAAAGCAGCCAGCAGCCAGGCAGTGGAAGACAGGGGAGAACCAGGGCTGTGCTCCCAGCAGCAGCTGGAAGCGCAGCCCTGGCTCTCCCCACCTCCTGTGGCTGGGCTGTGGGAAACTGACTGCAGCACAGGGGAAGTGAACTGAGCCTGGGCTCAGTTCCCCTCCCCAGTGCTAGATCAGGCTGCAGGTACCATCATGGGACAGATGATTTAAAAAAAATCATTGGTTTTCATATTTCCTCAAGTCACAGGAAGTCAAATGTTCTAAAAGTCAGTTCCTTTCATATCACTTCTTCTACTACCATGGAACCCCTACCCCCAGCTCCATGAGCCAACTGGCAGAGCCCATTAACTTGGCCTGGCAATGGCTGCATACCATCTCCAGGCCTGCTCTGCCATTACTCCCCAATCTCTTTGTGGAACTCCTAATGACCTGGTGTAGAACTGTGGGATTCAGCAGAACGCACTTTGAAAACTTCCATTTCAAACCATGTTTATAGAACTGGTCCTTCATAAGCCATTTAGTAGGGCAGCGGTTGCAAAGGTTTAGCCTTCAACCTTACCTTATCAGTTTAGAAGTCCCTGTATACAGAAATGTTGAAAAAAGAAAGCGGGCAAAAGATTTGAAATTAGTATCCCACTTAGATGAAAGTCGTAAGTGTGCAGAGCTATTCCAACAGTCTGCAAATTCAGGAAGACAGAGCTGTTAGCTTTAAATGGTTCTCTGTGCAACAAGGGTTACTTTTTTTTAATGCAAGCATCAAATTTACAGTAACTGATGGATAAGCTATTCACTTGCCAGTGAAAGTTTTTCACTAGTCATTGCAAATCCATTTGAGTTTTTTTGTACTGATAATCAACAACACTGATGCTCCCCACCCCAGGTCAACAAAGATGCCCCTGCTACCTGCTACATTTATTATGCAATTAACTGTTTAATCATGCAATAAATTTAGACCATCAGATGTGCAAAAGTAATTATCACATGATAAAAACTACTATCCAGCTATAAAGAGAGTCAACCGGCTATAAATCTAATGATTGAAAACGGGCAACAACTCTGTACCCGGTTTCTGTCCAGCTTTAATTTGAACGTGTAGCAGAGCCCAACAGTACATTAAAACAGGCACAGCTGAGATCACTGTGCATGAGACATACCGTATGATTCTCTAACTCCAATAACCAGTTGAGAGTCAAAAGCTTCGCCTAGTCTTTCAGCATGGACCAACTTCATTGCACTGTCCTGAAGCCTATTCTTTATATTTGAGAATATGGACTCATTCCATGTATCTAGCATGAGCTACATAAAAAGAAAGGGGGGGGGGGGGGAAAAAAAAACAAAAAAGGGG